GGGACAGAGCCCACGCTGGCATGGACGAGGCTCTTTTGTTTATTGCACTGGACTCGGCTCCCTGGTGGTCCTTAGGGATCATGAAATCTGGGTGTAACATGTCCAAATTACACTAATTGTAATCTAATTAAAAATAAATAAAAAAAATCTAAAGGATACAGTTAATAAAGGTTTTAAATCAGTACCTGAACGCTGGCCAGGTAGCTCAGTTGGTTAAAGCATTGTCCTGGTACACCAAGGTTTGATCCCTGGACAGGCCACATACAAGAATCAACCAATGAATGCCTACAAAAGTGGAACAAGTCAATCTCTCAATCTCTCTTTCTCTCAACTCAGTAAATAAATTTAAAAGTTTTTAATTAAAAAAATCAGTACCAGGGTTCACGTCTCAGATTTCTCACTTTGTTTTTAAAATTCTAATCTCGAATCTTTAGCGATTCTGATGGCAAAGATCCTTCCTATTCTCCCAGCGCCCCTATCTTAGAATCAAATTCTCTGGCCCCAAAAGGCTGCCTTTCCAGGCCAGTTTGGCATCAAACTGTCTCCAGGCCATTCCCCTCCACTCTGGCAGATTCTGCTTCCATCCTGGGTCTATTTAATCCTCACCAGAGGCTACTTTCCCCCATGGAATTTTAGACACATTGGAAGGGAGGGGAGAGATGCAGAAAGAGAAACATCGGTGTGAGAGAGACACATGGATTGGTTGCTTCCCACGTGTGACCGACCTGGGCTGGGGATTGAGCCTGCAAATGAGGTACTATATGCCTTTGAAAGGATCCTTCATTCCGGGGATCCTTCATTCCGGGATCCTTCATTCTGGGGCCGACACTCCAAACCAGCCGGCTATTCTCCTTGTATGGTCCAATCGTTGGACGGCCCCAAAATTTAAAAACATGTTTCCAGCCATCTTTTAGCTGTGTGGTTCGGGCAAGCCACCTAATCTCTGGAAGACTTCACCTGTAAAATGAAGATGACACCAGCTTCACCGGGTTATTGTGAGGGTGAAAGGATGACACGTGTGAAGAGTGCCTGGCACATCACAGCTCCTCAGAATAAGGGAGTCCCTCTCCCTCCCTCGAGTCCTTGAGGGCATATTATCGTTGGGCACACAACAAGCACTCAGTGGAGGTCTGTGATTTGATGTCCAAGCTACTCCCAGCAACACTCAGCCCTCAGACCGGAGAGGAGCTGCCCGTTTTAGTGCATGGCTGCCTACCTGTGCTTGCTGGGATGGCAGTCACCATCTCCTCAGTGCGCAGCAGCAGCAGGTGCTTGTCTTTGGCCAGGTGCATGCGTGGCATACATTCCTGGCTGCTCCCTTTTCTTGAGCTTGGGGTGTGTGTGTGTGTGTATGTGTGTGTGTGTAAAACTTAATCCCTGTGAGACTCAGTGTCTGGCCTCACCCTGGGCTTGCTGATTGGCTGTCTCTGCTGCCCCGCCCCCCCCCCCCCCCCCCCGCCTCCCCAGCACAGCACCCCAGGTGGCCCAGGCCCCTGCGGGGCCCTCTGTTTACCGAGAGCCTGTTCAGGCGGGATCCATCTCCGCACTCCTCCCCTCGGCACCTCGGTAACCCCCGCCTCCGCCCGCCTCAGAAGCCGGAAGAAAGCACACCGAGCCATTCTGCGCCCTGTCCCCCATGACCCGGAGGGGTCGGGTAAGGAGGAGGGGGTGTGGGGGAAGGGGGAGTTCCAGGGACATCCCCTGCCACCTGTTCGGTCAGATATCTCGCCGACCCAGGAATTGCATCCCTAGGCCCAACCCTCGCCCCCCCCCCTCCCTGCCCCTTCCTGTCGTGCTCCGGGTACCCCACCTTCCCTCCCACCCAAGCAGCCAGGAGCTGGATCGCAGGTCCCTGGAGGAAGCACAGGCTTGGAGACTTCACTCCACGTGTTCCTTCCCCCACCCAGACGGTGATGACCCCCAGGCCCGCCGGAGCCGAGGCCGGCAGCCCGGACGGGGGCTGGGGCTGGATGGTGGCCGCCTCGGCCTTCCTGGTGAACGGGCTCTCCTACGGGCTGCTGCGGTCCCTGGGCCTCGCCCTCCCGGACATCGCCGAGCACTTCGGCCGAACCTCCCAGGACACGGCGTGGGTCAGCGCCCTGGCCCTGGCCGTGCAGCAGGCGGCCAGTGAGGCCCGCACCCCGAGGCGGGGGCGGGAGCCGGGGTGGGGGGCCCTGAGGTTGTGGGGTTCCCCCTGCTCCAGATAACCTGAGGAAGGGCGGCAGGTGGCTCCGGATTCCGGAGCAGAGCGGGTGGAGGTTCAGAGGGAGGAGCTAGCAGGCTGGGGGCGGAGCGTTACCCGGAAAACAGCCAATGAGAAGTGCTGGATTGAGGGTTGGGGCGTGTCTTCCCTTGACCCCGCCCCCTTCCAGGTCCGGTGGGCAGCGCCCTAAGCACCCGCTGGGGGGCGCGCCCCGTGGTGATGATTGGGGGCGTCCTCACCTCGCTCGGCTTCCTCTTCTCGGCTTTTGCGGGAAGCCTGCTGCACCTCTACCTCGGCCTGGGAGTCCTCGCCGGTGAGGGGGGATATACCTGGGTCCCTCAGGGGTGGTGGGGAGACAGGAGGGTGGCGGGGGAGACAGGAGCGTGTGGGGGGCCGGAGGTCAGCTGTGCTGCAGTGGTGGTGGGTGTCCTCCCACATCCCAGGCCCCTTTCCTCACCCAGTCTTCTTCCTTTCAAGAGTTTAAGTGACTTTATTTATTTTTAAAAATATTTTATTGATTTTTTACAGAGAGGAAGGGAGAGGGATAGAGAGAGACATCGATGAGAGAGAAACATGGATCAGCTGCCTCTTGCACATCCCCCACTGGGGATGTGCCCGCAACCAAGGTCCACGCCCTTGACTGGAATCAAACCGGGACTCTTCAGTCCACAGGCAGACGCTCTATCCACTGAGCCAAACCGATTTCAGCATGACTATTATTTATTTATTTATTTTTAAAAACATATTTGATTGGTTTTTCACAGAGAGGAAGAGAAAGGGATAGAGAGTTAGAAACATCGATCAGCTGCCTCCTACACCCCCCACTCCCAACTGGGGATGTGCCTGCAACCAAGGTACATGCCCTGGACAGGAATCGAACCCGGGACCTTTCAGTCCGCAGGCCAACGCTCTATCCATTGAGCCAAACAGGTTTGGGCAAGTGACTTTATTTTTTAACAAAACTTGGCTAACATACATCATATTGGTCTCAGACATACAGCACAGTTATCCAGCATTTGCATATCTAACGGTTCGTTCGTCCGCAGGCTCCGGCTGGGCCCTGGCGTTCGCACCGGCCCTGGGCACTCTCTCCCGCTACTTCTCCCGCCGGCGGGTCCTGGCCGTGGGGCTGGCGCTGACGGGCAACGGCGCCTCCTCGCTGCTCCTGGCGCCGGCCTTGCAGCTCCTGCTGGACGCCTTCGGCTGGCGGGGCGCCCTGCTGCTCCTGGGCGCCGTCACCCTCCACCTCACCCCCTGCGGCGCCCTGCTGAGGCCCCTGGAGCTCCCCGGCGACCCCCCCGCCCCGCCCCGCGGGCTCTTTGCTGCCCTGGGCCTGGGCCTCTTCGCACGCCCGGCTTTCCTGGTGTTCGCTCTGGGCACTGCCCTGGTGGGCGGCGGGTACTTCGTCCCCTACGTACACCTGGCCCCCCACGCTTTAGACCGGGGCCTCGGGGGGTACCGGGCAGCGCTGGTGGTGGCGGTGGCCGCGGTGGCGGATGCGGGCGCCCGGCTGGCCTGCGGGTGGGTGGCGGACCAGGGCTGGGTGCCCCTCCTGCGGCTGCTGGCGCTGTTCGGGGCTCTGACGGGGCTGGCGCTGCTGGCCGTGGGGCTGGTGCCGGTGGTAGGGGGCCAGGAGGCCTGGGGGGGCTCCCTGCTGGCTGCGGCCGGGGCTTATGGGCTGAGTGCAGGCGGTTATGCCCCGCTGGTGTTCGGGGTGCTTCCCGGGCTGGTGGGTATCGGAGGGGTAGTGCAGGCCACGGGTCTGGTGATGCTGCTGATGAGCCTCGGGGGGCTTCTGGGCCCCCCGCTGTCAGGTAAGGGCCTGACTGAGCCAACCCATACTCTCCCGCCCCCCTACTGGGGTCCGAGGCATCTAAACTCCTTTCCCCTTCCTCTCAGGCTTCCTGAGGGATGAGACCGGAGACTTCACGGCCTCCTTCCTCGTGTGTGGCTCCTTGGTCCTCTCGGGCAGCTCCATCTACATGGGGCTGCCTGGGGCGCTGCCCTCCTGCCGCCTGGCTTCTCCTCCAGCCACCCCGCCCCCTGAGAGCGGGGAGCTGCTCCCAGCGCCTCAGGCGGCCCTGCTGTCCCCAGGAGGCCCTATTGCCACCGCGGACACGTCCTGTTGACCATCTTCTTTTGGTCTGAGCCCCTCCCTCAATAAAAAAAAAATTCCAGTGCTTCCGCAAGCTCCCATTGTTGGCCCATCCAGGACACCGAGAACTTTATAGACATTCAAAAGGCCGCTCGGAAGGAGCAGGATCCCGCTAAGCCCTGGGAGAGAGGAAGGTACCTCTGTCTGTCAGTCCGTTTCTCTCTGCCCACCCTGTTGCCATTAGAACAGGGCCTCTCTGAGAAGTTGTCTGCCTGCCAGCTTCCAGCTGTCTGAGGGGGAGGGCGGCTCATGAATGCTGTCTCCCCCATCCTCGATTCCTTGACTCAAAACTCTTCCCGTATCCCAATCTCCTTCTATTGGCCTGAGGTGAATACAAGAATCCTAGACCCAGATTTAGGCTCTCTCAGCTTCAGCTCTCCCTACCAAACCGCCCCCCGCCCCCTGCCCCTACCATGTTCCCACCATGTTCTTCATGTCTCTTCTAAGTCACAGGGGCTAGTGGGAAAGAGGGAGGTCAGCCGGCAAGTGGGAGGAACTGTGGTCCAGAGAGCAGGGTCCAGGGTTACAGATGCTCGGAGTCTCCAGAGCTCCTGGACTCCTCCCCACTACCCCCAGCCATGACCCCACTCAACCAACCCCAGCCTAGGGGCCGCAGTTCTTTCTGAGTCTCTGGTTGTGACTCAGTTTCCTTATTCAGTTTTATCTCAACGGGGCGGCCCTCATCCCCAAACATCTGTCTTCGGAGAAGAAGCTTAGTAGGCAACTCTAGAGATGGATTCCCTTGGAAAACATAGTAAGACTCTTGGCCTTTGATTTTCACAGTGGATTCCCAGCTCCCTGGAGCAGGCTCGACTCTTGGATCCCGCAGGAATGGTTGTGGAAGCCAAGAAGAGACAGGAGTCCTCCAAAAGGTGCTAGGAGTTGGCACACACACACATCGCAGGGCCCCGGGCCTGCTGTGGCAGGAGACAGATCAAGATGTTGAAGGCACTGCGGTCCTGGGGGCACTGATATGGGGCAGAAGGCCCGGGGCTGCCAATCTCTGGCTCTCTGGGTCTTTCTGGAGCTCAGTCCTCTCCCAGCTCTTCCTTCGCAGGGGGACTTGGGGATCCAGTGCCTCTGTGACGAGGTCCTGAGGCTTGGGGGACTGAGACGCAGAAGAAGTGGGGCAGCGTGATGAGAACGCCACTCCCTGCGAGAAGGAAGACCCCGGCCACCACGAAGGAAGCCGTGTAGTTGCCTGTCACGTCCCGGAGGTAGCCTGCATCGGAGGGAGAAAAGGAGTACACATGGGTGATCTGTTTCCTGGGACTGACGGCTCAGGCACATTTTTGGGTGGGAGGAGGAAACTAATCTGTAATCTGCCATCCTGGAAGAGTTCGAACTCCCAAGGTGGGACCAGATGCGCTTGAGAACTCTGGCTCCCCAAGTGGCTTCAAAGGTGATGCCCACCACCTTCCTGCCTTCGGAAAGGCCCCCCCATATCGTATCAGCCAAGGGGATTTTGGGGATTCAGATTGAGTCAGGCACACCTGTGTCTTTCTTCCTGGCGACTGTTGGCCCTGTCATCTGACAGTTAGTAGTCCAGAGGAAAGCGTAAAGGGTCGGAAGGTTCTGGCATCTGAGGGCTGTGGAGAACTTTGACCACGTGGCTTGGACATCTGAGCTGGGGCCAAATGGGCCAAGGGTAAGGACGTGTTATGTCTGGCCAGGTCCAGCCACGTCTGAAAATCCAAGCTACAGGTATCCCACCAAGGGCTCCGCCTAGCTCGTTTTGGTTTTCCCACAGCCCCAATTCCTTTGTCTCATGGACCCACTTCTGCTGTGATTGGTTACACGGGCCACGTAGCATGCCATACCATGTCACGAGCAGTATTCACACCCACTCTAATGTGAACAGTCCCCTCCCTGAATGGTAGACATGGCATCTCTGGCCACTTGGGAGCCGCGTTCCCCTTACCTGACAGAGGAGCCCCCAGCAGTCCTCCGATGCTCTCCACCATCTGCACCAGTCCCAGGCCACAGTATATCCTTCCAGTCCCCACCAGCTCAGGCAGCATGGAGAAGGCCACGGGGGTCAGGGCCCCTGATGTGAAGCCGTAGGCCACGGCCAGAGCCACCAGGGCTGTGGGAGCCTGAGCCACGGGGAACAGGGCCAGCGACACCCCAGTCAGGGTGGTCCAGAGCACCAGGAGCCGTGCCACAGGCCCCGGGGCTACATCCCCTAGCCACCCGGAAACCACACGCCCCACGAGGTCAGAGACAGCAATCACCGAGAGGAGGAAGGCAGCAGGCAGTGGATCCCAACCCAGGTCCCGGAGGTGGGCCACCAGGTGCACATAGGGGATGAAGTAGCCAGTGTTGATCAGGGTGAGGGCGACAGTGTAACGGAGGAAGGGACCGTGATGGAGGAGGGAGGCCAGCTGGGCCCCAGGGCCACCCGCAGCAGGGTCCTCAGTCAGGGAGAGCGGGCGGAGGAGGGCCCCACAGGCCACCAGGTGGAGGGAGATGGCCGACACCAGCAGCAGGGTGCCCCGCCAGGCATAGTAGCTGAGCAGCCATTGGAAGAGTGGGGCAAAGGCAAAGGAGGAGAGGCCCACGCCAGTCAGCGCCAACCCCATGGCCAGGGATCGCAGGCGAGAGAAGTAACGGGACAGGCAGGCAAGTGTTGGCGTGAAGGTCAAGGCCCACCCAGAACCTGTAAAAAATAAATAAATAAATAAACAAACAAATAAATAATAGAGAAAGAAAAAGAAATGGTGGCCGTAGCTAATTTGGCTCGGAGGATAGAGTGTTGGCCTGCAGACTAAAGGTTCCCAGGTTCAATTCTGGCCAAGGGCACATGCCCGGGTTGTGGGCTCCATCCCTAGTAAGGGGCATGTAGGAGGTAGCCAATCAATGATTCTCACTCATCATTGATGTTTCTCTCTCTCTCTCTCTCTCTCTCTCTCTTTCTCTCTCTCTCTCTCTCTCTCTCCCTTCCTCTCTGAAATGAATAAAATATGTTTGTTTGTTTTTCTTAAATGGTGGTTTGGGGACTCTTCGGGAGTTCAGGGCGCCCAGTAATCCCAACACTGCCCAACAGCAGAATGTAGCGCAGGTCTGGTTACAATCCTAGCTGTGATACTATCTAGCTCCGTGACTTTACCTAATCTCCCAGCCTCAATCCCTTCATCTGCAAAATGGGGGGAATATGCTTTACGGGCCTGTAGAGACCTAGAGATAATGTTTTTAAAGTAACAAGCACAGAGTTTGGGAGTTGCACCCAGGCCCTACTATTTCTGGCCGTGCGATCTTTATTTGCCAAGTTTCATGAGTGTCCGAAGCCTTGCTTCATCTGTAAATAGGATAGCGAAGGCCGTCACGAGAGACAACAAAGGTCACTACGATAACACTCAAGGGATCGATCCAACAAGAGGCTTTCATCCTGGTAAACATATATGCACCCAATATAGGAGCACCTAACTATACCAAAAACTGTAAACAGGCTAGATATCTATGTTACAGGCACAGTGCCCGGCACAACTATGTACTATGTGATTCTTCCTTTTGCACTCCAGTCCCACTAGCTCCGGTCTTGCACACTGTGGACTCATTATCCCCGGAACGTCTAAACAGCCCCACCAGCCCCACCACGTTTACTAAATGAGTCATCCCTCTTCATTCCCCTTCGGGGCACAGGTGTTATTCAAAACTTTCTCCCAGCTTCCCCAGGAAGTCTTTTGGGGAAGCTTAGGAGGAAGGTGGTGGCCCAGAGTCCAAAGACTCCAGGCATTTGACTTTTCCTGCCCTGCCCAGGGTCTCACCTGAGAGCAGCCCGATGCTCAGGTACAGGTGGGTCAAGGAGGTGGCGAAGGAGGCCAGCAGCATCCCCAGCGCTGCCAGGACGCCCCCAGCCATCACCACTGGCCTCGGCCCGAACTTGGTGCTCAGGGCACTGCCCACGGGGCCTGGGGAAGCGGAAGGAGTTCAGCGAGAAGACTTCGGGCATCCTTCTCCAGCATCCCCCATCTCCCCCTTACTGTCCCCGCATTTCCCAGGGTCCCAGGACCCCGGCCCCGGGCGGGCGCGGCACTCACTCCCGAACTGCTGCACCGCGATGCCGATGGAGGCGATCCAGGAGACGCGCGCCGCCGGCTCGCCGAACGCCGCCACGAACTCCACGAAGAAGACGCTGAAGGAGCGCAGCACCCCGAACACCAGCGCGGACTGGAAGAACGCGGAGAGCACCACCATCCAGCCCCAGCCCCCGTCCGGGGGCTCGCTCCCGCGCGCCATGCGGCGGGGGTGGGGTGGGGGGGAAGGAGCTGAGCTGCCGCCCCGACTGCCCTCGTGGGAATCAGGCTCGGGACGCTCCCCTCCGCCCGCCCCGCCGGCCCCGCCGCCCCCGGCCCCGCGGGGCAGGGCAGGGTGGCTCAGAGGGAGGCGCAGTCGGGGGCTCGCGCGCTGGCTGCAGCGAGGCTGCGTGCGGCGCCTGCGCCCTGCTCCCGGCGGGAGCGCGGGTGCGGGGGGACCGGCCGGGGCTCGCCCGGGAGATTAGCGCCCGGGGGCGGGGCTGCGCTGCCGCCGCGGGGAGCCCAGGCCCAGGCGGGCCGGGGCAGCGTCCCGTGGAGCAGCCGGGACGCGGCGCCGGGCTCGGGCTCTCCCCTGGAGGCGCATCATTCTCCGAGCGGATTATCTGTTTTATCGTTGCAAGGGTCGGCCTCGGGCCAGCCGGGCAAAGGCCAACATCCCCGCTGGCGGGACTCCCGGGCGGGGCGGAGCCAGCAGGCAGGCGGGCTCTAGAGCTTTGTTCGGGGTCGGGCTCTTACCCCCCCCCCCCCCCCCCCCCCCCTCCGAATGGGAGCTTGCGTAAAGGGGGAGCTGTAGGAGGTCCGTGAGATGGGCCCCAGGTGACGCAGGGACCTGCCCGGAGCCCGCTTCCGTCTCCTGTCCACCTAGCAGGCCAGCTCGCCCAGATCTCAGCACCCAGACCCGCGTGTGAGGAATGCATGGGGGTGGGTGGTGAGTAAACTGGTTCCGGAGAGGAAAACAATCCCTTGCTTAACGAGGAGCCCAGGAGTTTGCAAGGCCTGGTGGCCAGCGAAGGGATTGTGCAATGAGATTAAAATAAAATGCTCCCAGCTCCTCGGGTTGCTAGGATCTAGATACCATTGATCTCTGAGGGGTTCCGGGGCCAAAGAAGGAGACAAGGGGAATGGGCTGCTGGACTCCTGGAGTTCGTTTCTGTAGTGTCGCTTCTGTTCCCTCTAACAGGAAACCTACAGGTCACAGAGACCAGAAATAACTGAGGAGAGGAAGGGCGAGCCTGCCAGCATCACCTACCCTTCCTTCAGCGGGGCTAGGGCACTTTCCCCAGCCTCTCACTTCCTATCCGCGGTTTTTTCTTCTCACGATTACCTCAACAGACAAGCCAGGAGCAACCCGCCCCTCCAAGCCAGTCCCCGCACCTCCCCGAGCACGAGGGGCTGGGCTTCCTGTTTCTTCACTTTAATCAAGCTCCCAGGCCCTTCCCCTTGAAACTTGGACTCAGAGATCTATACCCAGACAAGGGGGGGGGGGGGGGGGGTGGAGAGCGAGGAAGGCTGTGTAATTTAAAAAGCATATTGTGCCTTATAATTTTATATGTGGGAAATAAAAATGGTCCCACCCCAAAACTTTTTTTTTTTTTTTTTAAGCAGAGTCAGAATTTTGCGTGGTGGGAGACTGTGCCGATGATACAGAAATTGGTGTGAGGATATAACCTAGCAGTTAGAGAGGGCAGCCTGTAGAATCATAGTTCCAACCTCAGCCTCATCACATATCGATATTATCTTGGCCAAGCAAGATATTGACTCTCTTACTGGTTTTTCCTGCCTGTAAAGTGGGAAAGAAGACAAGGGGAAGCACTCACTCTTTAGGGTTGTCAGGGGCGTTGAATTAGAAAATCTATGTACTAAAATGCTTAGCTGAGGGCCTGACATGGAGCAAGACTATTGACTGATCTCATTTTCAGCGGGGAATACACTGTAGTGGGAGAAGAGAGGTTTTAGTTTCTACATTTCCCTTTAAATAAAATAATCCAGGTCATGGGTTTTAAAAAGACCGAAAGACACATCGACAAACTGTAAATGTTGGAAGCAGCTGCAGAGACCATGTGAATAGACTTATTTCACAGACGAGTAATTTAAGTCCAAAAGGAAGGTGATGTCTCAGAATTAGTGGCCTTGTATGTTCTACCCACAGGGCAGTACAGAGCTGTGCACCCAGAACACACACAGGACGGGGGTCAGGATGGGAGAGACGCTTACGTTGGGCAGTGGAGAAATTCCAAGACCGCATTGCTGGGGGAGGGCCGCACAGCCTCCTCACTGCTACCTCCAGCCCCTGTTGTCCTCAGGGGACCCAAACCCTACCCCCCCCCCCCTTTTTTTTCTTTTTTTGTGTGGTGCTAGTGTGTCCCAGCACAGATGCATTCCCCCAGCGCCTTGGTATTATTCGTGGCTTCCTGGTTTCTCCCAGCCGCCTCCACCGCCTCCTCACTTGAGGCAGGAAGTGACTTCAGAGCGGCAGGATGCAGGTGGCTCCGGAGCACTTGGTGAAGTCACCAGTTCCTGCACCAGGAGCCAGAAGGCAAGGGCAGGGCCGGGGAGAACACGGCCCATTTGAAATGTCTGGTGGAATGAGCACAAAACCGCAGGATGATGCCCAGGAGGGGGGCCCCTCTTTCCGCAGGCCTCCGCAGTCCCCAGGCTCCCCAGGCCAGAACCCCAGGACACAGCAGGCAACGTGAGAGGCTTCTTTATTCCATGGTTCTGATCTTGCAAGATCTAACATCTCCACCCCGAGGCACTCTCCACCTGCCCATCCAGACCGCTAAAAAATAAAAATAAAAATCCTGGTTCCTCTGCACATCTCTCTTCTGCTCTCTTCCTGCAAGTCTGCGGTGGGGAGTAAGAGGGTAAAGAGTTTCCAAATGATGACCACTAGTACTGACCTATCTTGAGGAAGCTCTACCCCCACACATTCGAAGTCCTTCTTCCCCTCTTCCCCATGCCCCGTAATCAAATAGGCTCCATGGCAAGAGGGGTGGGACTGTAAGTCAAGGCTTCAGAGTATCATCGAACATTCCAGACCTTCTGCCCAGTTAAGAGGCAGACCCCATTCCTAACTTTCTACCTCCTTGGCCTATACCAGAAACTGCACCCCTCAACCAGCCTCTTAATTCTACCTGGATACTTGGTCCTCAAGAAGGTCCATCGGTTAGTCAATCAGTCTTTTAAGTCTCAACCTCTAACCCCAACAGTAATCCCAATCCCAATCTATATCAAACCCTAAATGGAACTCAGCCTCTTTTCTCTCCCCGTGGAAGGTCCTAGTGCGTTCACTGGTTCCGGACAGGAATACAGTGATGGGAAGGCCAGGTCACAGACCCAGCTTTTCTAAGGTAAGAAAGCTACCACGCACCTGTGGCTTCTAGAGGCAAAGAAGTTTCTGGAATCTGGACATGTGCCAGAACATGTCCAAAAACCCGCTGAAGGAAGGAGCTTGTCTCAGGTAGCGAGAACCCCCACGGGACATTCAAACCCAGATGCCTAGGCATCAAAGGACTGGTCGGGACATGTTTAGCTAAGATAAAAAAGAGTTTCAAAACTCTCCCGGAGGTCAGAACATTCCCAGAGACTGGGCAGAGTCAGAAAAGGAATTCCAGAACTCAGTGCTGACAGCAGGCCCTTGTGGGAGGGTTGTAAGCTCTACCGCGATAGGCGCAGCAGACGTGAACCTAGGTGAGCAGATGAATGGGACCCCGTTATGGGTATAAGAAAAAGCCTCTCCAGTCATCCCCCCCAAGACTGAGAAAGCCCCACACGCACAGCCCTCAGGAGGCATTTATTACCTGCATTCCAGGCTCCCCTTAAAGGTCCCATAGCCCCTGGAGAACAGAGAAAGGTCTATCCAGTTCTAGCCTGCTAGAGGACCTCGAATATCCCGAGTCCAAAGGGTTCCTGACCCCATTCCACACACGCACGTGTTGCCAGAGCTGCCCCAGGACAAACAGTGGTCCCAGACCTGGAGTCGGAGGGGCAGGGGACACACAGAACCCCTTTCTCCGCTTTGAACAAACCGACAAGCAAACACACAGGAGGAAGAACAATTCTAAAGTCAGAGGCGGTGGCAACAGGAACATAAAACACTCAAGCCAAGTGCCGATCTCTGCCAGCAGAGTGTGACCTCACGTTCTGTGCTTCAGGTCACCGATCGCACCGGGAGGGGGAGCTAGGAAAGGCAATAGAACGAAGGCCCGGGTGCCACCCAGAGGCCTCAATAACTTATATTTACAGAGAAACCGTATGAGATGGGGACTGCAGGTGGAAGACTGTTCTCTTAAGGTGGGTGGCAAACTCATTAGTCAACAGTTGGCCGACCACGGCCTTACGAAAACCAGGCCTCCGGCCTTTTCCCTCCCCAGGGCCTAGCTTGCTCTCTCCTTAGAAACAATGGATTGTGGGGAAGAGGTTTTGACCAGCAAAACAGAGGCAGATCGAAGGGTGACCTGCCCACCCCTGCTCTCCCCAGTGAGAAACGAAGGTGGCGGCAGTTTCTGAGAACGGAGGGGCCTTGCCCACCTCCATGCCCAGGTCTGCCCGAGAAGCCAGGTGCGGGCCAGCAGCTTCCCTGGCCTTCAGAAAGTGCCTGGGGCCTGGGCCCGGCTCGGCTAGGGCCCGCCCAGAATGTGGTAGTGCACTTTGGTGTTGGTAGCAGCTCCGTGTTTCTGGCGCAGATGCAGCCGCAGTTGGCTCTTGTGCCGGAAATGCAGGCCGCAGGGGTCGCACTGTGGGGTGGGGAGGGAGAGAGCCGGGTCAGGTCCCTCCTCATCTCCGAGCACCTCTCAGGTGCTGAGCGAGGGAGACCTGTTAGCTATCAGGCCAGGAGAAGCTCTCCAGTCCCCTCATGGCCTCCCAAGTCCTCTGGGAGAGGCCAAGGAGATGGCTCCCCCTCTTCAGCAAAGGATGTTCCACCCCTTCATTCCCCTTCAGGAGCCAGTGTCCAGCCAAGGAGCCTAACTTCTGTACTGCCCATCCCTACCCCCATCTTCGCCCCTTACTCACAGGCCCACCCTAGGCCCCACCCCTTGCACACATGGACTCTCCGAGTTCTAGGGCCCGAGGCCCCCCCTTCCCTACTCCCCACTTCCTCTCGGAGCCCAGCCCCCAGGGGAGCGGGAGGTAGGAGTAAGGCTTCGGCCCCCGGTACTCACGTGGTAAGGCTTCTCCCCCGTGTGGATGCGAACGTGGCTTTTGAGGGTCTGTAGGTGACGGAAGCGAGTCCCGCACGTGGGGCAAGGATAGGGCTTCTCCCCGGTGTGGATCAGCACATGCGCGCGCAGGTGTGCTACCTGGGGGGCGGCAGGAGGGGGGGGGAGGTGACCTCAGACTAGGCCTCCGGGAAAGACAGAAAGAACCCTCCCCAGGAGGCCCACGCCGTCCTCTTGCAAAGCTGCCTTCAAGCTCGCGCTGAGGCTGAGGCTGGGGCTGGCTCTGTACCTGGACAAAGCGGGAGCCGCACGTCTCACACTTGTAGGGCTTCTCTCCCGAGTGGATGCGGCTGTGCGTCTTCAGGTTGGCCGGCCGGTTGAAGCGGGCCCCGCAGATGGAGCAGTGGTAGGGCTTCTCCCCTGGAGGCAGGGGGAGAGAGGGGTCAGGGACTCCGCCCCAGGACAGTACCCTGGACGGGAAGGCCGGGGGCCGCTCCTCCCCTACCTGTGTGCACCGCGCGGTGACTGGCCAGGTTGCCCTTGTAGCGGAAGGCAGACCGGCAGAGCTGGCACTTGTAGGGCTTGTCCTCATCCCCAGAAGCCAAGGGGTCCAGCCCCGAGGAGCAGCCAGCCACAGCTTCACAGTTTTGGCAGCTGAAAAATTCACTTCCTGGGAAGGGGGTGGGGGCAGATAATGACCACAGCATCAGGGAAGTCTCCAATCACACAGTAGGTGTCTTTTTCCCAATTTACTGTTAAGACTTCTGGGGCTCATTTGACTGGCTCGAGGTCACAGGGTTAGCAAGAGGGGAAGCCAAGATCTGGCTCCATGTCTGTCTGTCTCCAGGGCACTCTGCTAACCCCCTCATAGTGGTGATGGTCAGTGGAGGCCCCTACGAGTGGTAGAGGTGTCTGTTTCTCTCTCTTTTCTGCCACTGCGCTGGATCGCACCTTGCTGGAATGGCCCTGCCCAGCTCCGTCTGGGCTGGCCGCTTAGCCCTGGATGGGAATAGTCCCGAGGTTCCCAAACACCACTGCTTAGTGGAAGCTTTGAAAAATACTGATGCCGCCGAAACCGGTTTGGCTCATTGGATAGAGCGTTGGCCTGCGGACTCAAGGGTCCCGGGTTCGATTCCGGTCAAGGGCATGTACCTGGGTAGCAGGCACATCCCCAGTAGGGAGTGTGCAGGAGGCAGCTGATCAATGTTACTCTCTCATTGATGTTTCTAACTTTCTATCCCTCTCCCTTCCTCTCTGTAAAAAAAAAAAAATCAATAAAATATATTAAAAAAGAAAAAGAAAAATACTGATGCCTAGTTCCCACGTCTACACATTTTGGTCTATGGGTGTGGCCGGGGCAATGAGAGTTTTAAAGATTCTGATTTGCAGGATGTAATTGGCACAGGTCCCTCCCGCAGACTTTTGGCCCAAACTGGCTTCGAGCGGCCACAAGGAGGAAAGCCCAGGAGGCGGTAAAAGGAGGAGCTCTCACCTGGTGGAGGACGAGCCTGCCCGGAGGGAGGTGATGCCGTGGCTTCTTGAGGCCGGGGTGTGAGATGGGGGGTACTGACGGGAGCCCCACATTTGAACTGAACGGTGGCAGCCATTGGAGAGAGCCTAGGCAGAGGGAAGGTTAGGAGAGGTTACGTGGCAGGGATCTTCTCTGCTGAAGAACTGGGAGCCACAGGCCCACCCTCTGGAAGGGAGCAGTGCTGATCAGTGAGCCACATCTAGTCGCACTGCTAAAGACCCGCCACGCTGAGCACGCCTGGCCTCCAGCCAACTTCCCAAGGGGGGTTCGTGTCCCTTGCTCCCTGTCCCAGACCACCCAGGCCCTACGGCTCTCTCTGTCTCCTGGCAGAGGCCAGCCACAACACCTTCTTGGGGTTCCGTTTCTGTACCTGCTCTGGGGACCGGGAATGAGTCCTTCTTCGCTGCCACTGCTGCTGCTGGAGGCCTCGTCGCCGCTGGGGAGCCCAGCTTGGGGGCAGAGTTGACCAGAACTCCTCTCCCCCACCAGGCTCCCCGCTTGGGAGGCCTGAGAGTTGAGCACGATGAACTTGTATTTTTTCCAGTTGCAGGCCTTGGGGTCGGGGCTGCCTGGACTGGGAAGGCCTTGACTGCAGCTGCGAGACTCCGTAGGCGGGTCTGGGTGCCCCTCGGAGCGCCTGGGGCTGCCTGGTGGCCGGGCCGCTGGGGGCGTGGGGGCTTCTGCCTCCAGGGGCCTCAGGGAGATGCCCAGAGGCTCATAGCTGGGGAAAGGATGGCTGACGTGAGTGCTGTTTTCTAATCGTGGCTTCTGCCCCTGACACCTGGGATACCCACCACCTCGCCCACGGAGTACACGGAGCGGGCGCCTCACCTGGCCTGAATGAAGCGGTGGCATGCCTGCACCACGTGATCCATCTGCAAATAGGTGGCGGCCGCCAGGACGGCAGGCGCGGTGGCGGGAGAGAGGCGTAGGCGCGAGGTGTACATGAAGTCCAGAAGGGGAGCGAAGCCTCCGGCTTCGGGCCCCCCGGGCAGGGAGAGCACATCCACCCCAACTCCTGCACGGCCCCGGAAGATGGAATAGAAGAAGCCACTGGAGAAAGGGCAGATCAATCCTGTTAGGGGCTGGGGAACCACCGCAGGAAGCCGCGCCCCCATCACAGGACGCCCCTCCCCTCCCTTTCACCCCGCCCCCAACCTCAGGACGCCCCGCCTCCTCCCCTGTCGCCCCGCCCCCAACCCCAGGACGCCCCGCCTCCTCCTTCTGGCAGGTTTGGCTCCAGGTTTCTTCCCCAAAAACCTTACGCCTCCGCCCCTTGCCCATTGGGTCCCGTCCCCGAACCTGCAGGCGATGAGCACCGCCTTGTGAGCCCGCAGGGGCTGCCCGCCGACCAGCAGCGTGACGTCGGTGAGGATGCCGCGCAGGCGCAGCTCGTTGAGGTTGCCCAGCACGTCGGCGGAGTGGCGGGTGAACTCGCGGACGTAGCCCAGCGCTCGCTCCGGGGCCGCGGCGGAGCCCATCGCGGCCAGGCCTGCGGGGGCAGGGGGTCCGGGCGGTCCGAGGGCGCCCTCCCTCCCCTCCACCCCCCGCAGTCCGCCTCTTTCCCCCGGGGCTTCCCTAGACAGAGCCAAGCCCCGGGTCCGGCCCCGCAGCCTTCCTCAGCCCATCCCGTTCTCTCTGCCCTCGGACACTCCGTTGGCTCGCGTGGCGCCTCTACATGTGAAGGTGCCCACGGGGTCGATGGCGAGCGTGGGGACCCCGGCCCGCAACGCCCCTGGTGGGACTCCGCGTGCCCTTCCAGCGCCCCCCCCCCCCTCTTCCCCTCACCCCTCTCCCGCAGGCTCCCCCGCGCCCCGGGTCCCAGGTGCCCACCCTGCCCCCGGCGCTTTGCGCTCCGCACACCAAACCCCAATGGAAGGTCCCTCCCTCCAACCACGAATTCTACTGCCGTCTAGTCCCCGGCCCCCTGGCTTCGTCCACTTTTTTGGGGGGGCCTCCGTCTCCCTACCATCACCCCCAAACTAGTCCTTCGCATGGTCCCCGCGCCCGGCTCCCTCGGCCGCGCGCCCTTACCCCCGTCCTGCAGGGGCTGCCGCTCCTCTGCTCCGGGGGGTGGGGCCGCGCTCCCCTTTTGGCCTCGGCCCCTTTATCTGGCCGGGATGGCGGGGGCGGGGGGTGGAGGTGGGGTGGACGCCTGGGTCCGTATCCTTCCTTCCTCCATCCGTCGCCCTCCAGATGGCGGGCCCGGGGCGGGGTCTCCGGCTCCAGGGCGGGCCTCGGAAGCTCTGGGTGGTCGTGACCTTCGGGGTCTTGCTTGGGTCATCACCGGGGATGGGACTCGGCATTGGGGAGAGAGCTGGGACCTCGAGAGTAGCAGCACGAGTGGCTGGGTTGCGGGGTGAAAATGGGTGCGTTGGCTTTGGGAAGGGGTGCCAGGCGCCTGTGGCAGGGGGGTGTGCACAGCGAGGCCCCCGTCCAGGGTACGGTTACGGGGCGCAACGGAGGCGCCAGGTTTGGGGAGGCCAGAGTTCGGGGGGAGGGGGGGTCCCAGACAGCAGAGGGGGTGTGAAGGCCGGTTCCTCCAGCGGGCCTGCCCAAAGGGGGACTCGGGCCGGGCGGGGCAGGGAAAGGGCGGATATGATTTCTAGTGCGTTTCCTTCCATTGTCCTGCGACCGGACGGCTCCTCCAGCTGCTTCCCCTCGAGGAGGTGGGGAAAGTCCCGGGTGGGAGCGGAGAGACGCTCCGGAGACCCAGGCGTCCGGACTCTCGCTCCCGACTCGCTTCGGAATCCTTTTAGGGACCCGGAGAGAGAGGCTCCCGCCCAACGCCCGCTCGCCCTCCCCCGTCCCGGCCCGCCGAGGCCTCGGGCGGGCACTCGCCGGTCCGCTCCGCGGGACGGAGGTGGCGCCGGGTCCGGCGCGGCTGGCGGGCGGGCGGGCGGGCAGAGCTCTCGGGCGTGCAATGCTCGGCTCCTTCCACGAGGGGGCGGGCGCGCACTGGCTTCGCCTCGCCGGTCCGTCTTCACCCGGCTTTGGGGGGGGGGGGGGGAGGAGAGAAAGGGGGCTGGAGGAGTCCGCTCTGACAGGGGCTCGGGATCAATTCCGTCTGAACTGAGGAAACCTTCGACCTTGTCGTCCCCTTTGCGCTGGTTTATTTTGTCCTTCTGGCTCCTAGGAGGAAACTAGGAAGGGTGGGACAGAGGGAGGGAGTTAGGCCACAGAAGTGACTTTTCCTCCGAAGCTGGGGTTCCTACAGGGGTGAGAAATCCGACAGCTTGGGAAGTTAGGGAAATGGGTGGGACAAGGAGTGTGTGAGTGTGTGTGTGTGTGTGTGTGTGTGTGTGTGTGTGTGTGTGGTGGGGGTGGGGTGGGGGTCTGAGCCCTGGGATCAGAATTTTCCTTTCCAATTAGTCTAGGTGCTATAATCTGCCTTAGGGGTGAGTTTTTAGGGAACATGAATATGAAAGTGGGATAGGGTAAACAAAGAGAAGGGAAAGCAGGATGAAAGAAGGGAAAGCGGGAGAGTCCTGATAACGAATTTTAGGTCCCTTATCCGGGAGATGGCACAGACCAAACGCTCACATTTTGTCTGAGGAGGTGCTGGTTTGCAGGCAACGAGGTTCCTTTGGCAAAGCAGGCCTGGGATGTGGGCTCAGGGGTTTCCCATCGCCAGGAAGTTCATACCCAGGCCTGGGGTCCTTCCCTTCAGATGTGAGGGTGTCTTTTTTTTTTTTTTTTTTTTTTTTTGGCATGCACAGAACGGTGGAAAAACTGGGACTGGGGGTCACCGAGGACTGGGGCCCATTGGGTGGCTTTTGATGTGATGGTTACTTTTGATCTCTGACCGGTACGGAGATCCCTCTGGTATCACTCTGGTATCAGGATGGAGTTGAGTTTGTGTTGTCTGGTCAGTTGTGGTATGGGGCGCTGAGTCAGCTTGGTGATTCTGAGCCCTGTGAGCCGCATTCAGGCTGGACGGCAAATGGTAAACCTGAGGCAGGAGGCTGATTTTGAAGCTACTTCAGTTCTGGAAACTCTGACACCCACAGTTTGGAGACTGTCATCACGGAATAGTAGGAGTTCCTGCGAGGCGTTCTTGGGGACGTGAAGGAGGATGTATAGTCATTGGTGTATATGGATGATCTGACTTCATGCTGCTTTGGGGGTGCATTATGTTTTGGGGTGCCGCATATGTTGCGAGGCTCAGAGTAGATTTGGGGGGACATGAGGTTCATTTTGGAGTCTTTCGTTGTTCCGCGGTGGGGCATAATGGAACCTGGGAGCATGCATGAAGGCCTGCTATGATTGTGGGTCCGTCAGGGGGAGCAACGCGTTGCATTGGGACGTTGTGGAGACTTACTTTGAGGAGGGGATGTGCCTGTGTGTGCACAGATGGCCCAGGAGCTTCGTCCAGGGGCAGAAACAAGATGAGGGCTCAGGGTGGGAAATTAAAGTTTTTGGGGTGTTCTTATTTTGGAGTGTTTGCAACTATTTGGGTGAAACTGGGGTGGGCTTAAGGTGAGATTGATTTAGGAGTTTACTTAATTTGGAATGCATTTAGTTGTCCTTTGCTTATAGCTCCTTTTCACCCCAGATTCTAGAAATCTTCTTTAGTGAACCCCAAATATGCCCAGGATTTAATGCGAAAAAATTTGGGAAGGAATGCATTTCCTCTTATCTATGTGGTCCAAAGAGGTCTGAGGGAGAAAAGGTGATTTTAGACTCTGAACCCCAATTTCTTAGGGGGAGCACACCTCAGTTTGGGAGATTGTGGAGAAAATGGGGTGTCTGGTGGTAAAGTGGACACCCCTGAATAGGTCAGTGCCGTTGGAACTGTGGCAAGGAGAGGTGGTGGCTGGGTACAAGGAGGTGATTCCTGTACCCTGATTTTCTAGATAAGAGCCCCAAACAGAAAGCCGAAGAGCTGGGAGTGTGGGTGAGGTGGGGGGAGGGGTTCCCCACGGCAGCAGGGGCTAGGGGGCAAGCCAGGCCAGCCCGGCATGCCTGGGTCCCTGCTCTGTGCGGCTCTCCTCCCCCCTCTCCCTCCACCGCCCACCCCACAACCCAGGGGAAAAAACTGCCTGTGCAACAGCAATGGCAGATTCCAATACTCCAGGCTTTCCTGAACCACCGAGACCAGCCAGGGGGGAGGGGAAGGGAGGATCGGGCTTTCCTGCTTCCCTGAGACTGGGGCTAGGCGCGTGACCTCCTGGCCCCTAGCCCTTCAAGGAGTGCCCCCCCTGGTGTGGGAGCCAGGTGTCCTGGGCCCCAGCCCCCGAGCGGGGGGGCCTGGAGAGACGGGGAGGAGGAAGGAGGGAGTGACTTCCAAAATTGGCATCGGGACAGAGCAGGGCTGGCGGGAGGCAGGCGAAAGACAGAATTTTCCTGAAAAAACGGGGCTATCTGAGGACCCCAAATTTGGAGAGGTAGTTCAGGACCGTCCTGCCAACAACCTAGATTTTTTGGGGATTTTTTGGGGGCCCCAGGACCCCTCTAGATGGGGTGAGGAATGTAGTGTTGGGGGAATCTGACTGGGGCATTGCAGCTGCCTCTCCCGCCGAGTTGGACACGGATGGGCTGGGACGGGTTTGGGGGGTGTCCCCAATTCTGACTGGGAGTGGAGGAACCCCCTCCTCAGCTCTCTTGTGGGGGGTCCCCCCTCCCTAGGGCACTCCCCACTCCTTGAGCCAGCCGAGAGGAAGGAGGCCAACGATGCGACCGGGCGGCTCCTTTCTCCTGCACCCCAAATGTGAGGGATGCACCCCAAATTTTGCTCCCTTCAAAATAGGGGACCAGGATCTCAGGGGAGAGTAGCTGAGGTAAGTGGGGAGGAAAGTGTCCCCTGTTTTCAGGAGAGACGTGGCGGTTGGGGGGGGGGAGAGGTTTGGAGGTGCCTGCTGGGGTGGGGTCGGGCTTTGTCAATCTTGGAACTGGGGGGATAATTGGAGAGGCTTTCTCTGATGACCCTAACGTGTAGTCCCCCAGGAGGAAACCAAAGGCTGAGACCAGAGGGTGCCCCAACATCCCCAGCCGTTAGAAAAGTGTTTGATTTCTGTTTCACCCCCACAAAAGCTTTGCCAAAAATGGGAGCTGGGGGCTGCCGTTCAGTTTGGGGGCTCCGGGGGTTAAGATGGGGAGCAGGAGGCTTTGGCAAGATTTGATGCAGGAGAGATAGGGGTGTCAGAGGGGTCTGGCCCCCCAAGGGCCTAAAAAGCCTGCTTACACCTACCATCGTAGGTCTTTTTTTATTGCTAAGAGTTTTGGGGGTGTGTCGAAAGGTAGGGTGCTAAAGGGTGGGATGGGAGGTGAGAGGGTAACTTTGGGGCTGTAGAGGATTATTTTGATTTGCAGGAGGGATTTTGCCCCTTGGTGTTGATTTCTGGGGTGTGCTTTTAAGAAATCATACTGGACAGGAGAGAGGGCTGCGGGCAGGCCTTGGGTGGGGGTGGGGAGGCATGTCTCAACTGAAACGTGGCTTTTTGGGGTGGGCCCACGCCTGAGCCTGGCGGGCGGGCCGTGGGGGCTGTTGCGCTGGGTGGGACTTGGGTCCTGGGGGGCCGTGGAGAGTGGAAGCAGAGCTGGGGGCTGGTTACCTGGCCCCCAGGTCGAGATGGCCCCTTCCTGGCCCTGCTGCTCTCCCTCCCCTCCACCCCCGGCCTCCATTTCCTGCCTGTGGCCTCCATCTTGAGGCAGCCCAGGCCCAGGCCACTTCCGGCCCCCCTCTGCCTGCCACGCACTGGCCCCACCGCCTCTGGATTGCCAACTCCAACCCTGCCGTCCTTGGCCTCCTCTCTTGGGTCCTGACCCAGAGAGGGAGGATCGGACACAGGAAGCCTGGGTCCCTGCCCTGTGACTGGGGCGTTTGTGGGCCCCCGTGTCATTCCCATTCCTCCGCCTCTGACCCACCCTGGGGATCCCAGGCAGCTTCTACAGGAACCAGGAAGATGGACCCAGGGTTATTACACTGAGACTCCCCACAGGCCCCGCTCCCTCCCCGGGTGCCTGCCCAGCTTCTAGCCCTGGTTTCGTTTTCCCCAACCGTTCTTGGGGGCCATGTTTGCTGCCTTTCCTACCTCCTTTCTCTCCCTGCTCTTGGTAGTGAGGGTCTTCCTAGCACCGCCTTATTCTCCCTTTCTCTCAACCACCCGTCCTGCTCCCGCCCCAGCAGCACACTGTGGTTTGTACGGCTCTGTGGCCACGTCCAAACCACACTGTGGTGTTAGAGCGAGGGTGGGGGAGGCACCGCTGAGCCCGGGAGGCCGCCCCGGAGAAGTGACACAGACATCTGGGGCCTTCCTGTGAGGTTGGGGGTGGGGAACCGGGAAGGGAGGTATGAAAGCATGGAAACGGGCCCCTCTCAATGCCTGGGGCAGCCTCAGGGGTGCTGACTGCTAGGGACCATGGGAGTGAGTCCCACCGTCGAGAGCAAAGTGGAGTCTTTGTTCCCCACACCCCGCTCCCCTGGCTCTAGCAGCACAGAAATATTGGCACTGGGAAGAGCCTGCCAATATTGGCTGAGCTGCTCCAGGCAGGGGCGTGAGAGCTGCCAGGAGGGCCCGAGCCCTGGGGGCTAAGGAGGGAGGGAATGGTCCCTTGTCCCTCAGTAATGCCAAGTGAGGGAACCCGCTGAGAGCGAAGTCTCTTTATTGTGTTCTGTATAAAAACGTCCATCCGATGCACATCAGAGGGGGTGGGGCAGGTGCCTGTACAGGAACAAGGGGCGGCCCCAGCAGTCTTTGACCCCCGCTGGGCAGGCCTTGCTTCGGAGTCCCAGGCGATCCACAGGTCCAGGGGAAACAGTGAGAGGGGTCAGAGGTGGAAGGCTCAGCGAGACAGCAGAGGAGGACCGGCAGAGGTCACGAGAAGGCCAGAATCCAGGGTCAGGCTGTCTGGAACAGGAAGTAAAATGGCCGAGATGGAGCGAGCCCCAAGTATGCTTCCGAGACAACTCCTGCCTCCCCAGAGCTCCCGGTCCCTCACTGACCCGATCACCTGCGCTGTGTGTGAGAGCACCTTCTCTTCCGAACCCCCTGCTGAGGGAGGGGCCTCCTGCCGGGACCTCCCCTGCTACTCCCGGGACACCTCCTCCCCGGCCCCTTCAGCTGGTGCGGGCGGAGAAGGACTCCTACCCTGGTCGAAGTTGAGTTTCTTGCATGGAGGAGTTTCTCCTAGCCCTTCAATATCCACCAGGTCACTGTTGGCGTCGGAGTCGTTCAGAGCACTGAGTGTCACATCTGGGAGGGGGCATAAGCTAGGCTCTAGGTCCCCTGACTCTCCCTCCTACCCCCGCCCCCGCCGCTCTCTGGGAACCTTCACTGCGAGGGGAAGAGATCTGTCCTTTGACCCGAGCCCAGCGCTCTCACTGAACCTCAGCTGGGATTTTAACCGCGAGGCAGCAGCTCCACAGCCCTCACCAGCCTTCTGCTTCTTTACGGGGGGCCCCCCGGCCTCGGGGACACTGGAGCTGCTGGGTGGAGGGGCAGCTGGAGGAGGCGACGAGACACTGGACGCCATCTTCTTCAGCCCTTTCTTGGGTGACTCGGACGGAAGGGGGATGCCAGAGTCTTCATACACTTTGCGCTTCACGGTGGCCTTTATCTGCGCCCTGAGGGGAAGAGAGAGGTTAGGGGTCACCGTCAGAGAGGCTGCGGGAAGGAGGGAGGGGTGGGGCAGGGATGATGGGCCTCTCTGGAGGAATCCGGGGGAGCCCCTTCAGAATCTGGATAAGAATCCACGCCAGGGCCCCCATCCTTCGGAAGGGTCTCATTTTCCTGAAGCCTTTCACTCACTCAGGGTAGATGAGTATAGTGAGTGAGTTTCCTGAACTGAGAAGCGGGCAGGGCCCGTGTCCTAATTCTCTTTTGGGAGAGAAGTATGGATGTGAAAGGCAAACAGGTAAGTCTCGGTGACCTACAGGGAGAGCCTGATAAACTAGTTCAGAATCACAGCATCCCTGGAAACAGCAATAGAGTCTCAAAAGGTCTGTATAAATAATCAGGTAACTCCCATGACCAAATTCAATGACTGGGTATCGCAGGCAATCTAAAACTGAATTCTGGGAAGGTCCTGATGACAGTAGCATTTGAGTGACTTCTGACTGATGGTGAGTTTTTTTTTATTTTTTATCTTTCGGTCCTCAAGGGGATGGATGCTACCAAAACTAAAAACTAGCGGCAAAGTAGGAAAGATGCTGAGCTAGGCTCCCGAGGAAGATGGAACAATGGGCATGGAGGAAGCAAGCTGCCCACCCCCCTCGTTGTCTACCGGCCACCCCTCCCTCACACTGTCCGTTCCTTGATGACACAGCTGATGTGATTAAGATCGTCCCCAAACCGCTTCACAGCAGCCCTCAGCATCTCTATCTCCGTCTCCGTCCACTTGGCACTGTCAGGGGGGAGAGGGGAACAGCGAAAGTGGGAGGAGGAGGGGTGTGGAGACAGCTCCCAGGCTATGCATTCCACAGCAGCCAGCCTCCCCCCACCATCCCTAGAGCCCCTCCCATAGGTCCATAGAGAGGTCCTCCTTAAAAAAAAGAAAAAAAGGAAGAACCAAGAGCTCTTAAGATACCTCGGGAACCCCGGGGACCCCCAAACATACACTGCACAAACCGCCACATTACAAGAAAGCCTGTTCCCCGAGATCATGAAATAGCTGCTGTAAACTGCCCACTGAAACCAACTCAAAAAGCAGGGGGTCATACAGGACACCTGAACAGGGCCTGCAGTCATCTGAGGGAATTCCCCAAGATGTGGGGTGTGGTGGTGGTCTACGGTCTGTGGGTTCGGGGTTCGGGTGAAGAGCCTCGTATGTGGTTCTACCTGCCATTCATTCAACCCCTTTCCCAGGCACAAAGGTCCCCGCCCCAAGTGTCCGTGTCAGTGGCGAGTCCAGGCGTCCGCACTCGGCGTCCCCGACCCGGGCCGAGCTCACGTACCCCGCGGGGGACGAGTCGGCCACGGGATGCAGCTGCATCGTCAGCTCCCCGAGCTTCGTGAAGGCGGCCCCCGCCGCGGAGAAGATCTCTCCGACCTGCAGGTGGGGCAGCATTACGGGGGCAGCGTTACGGGGAGCCCCGCGCCGGCCCGCCCCGGCCCCTAGCCCCACCCCGGGCTCGATTCCCGCCGGCCTCCCGCCGCCCAAACCCTATCCCAGGCGGAAAAGGCGCCAGCGAATTGGCGGGGGACGGGCGGGGACGGCCCGTGGCCGCCAGGGAGCGCTGTCCGCAAGGGAGGTCGAACCTTGGTGGACGCTGACGTCATGGTCCGTGCGCCTCCGGCACGGAGACGCCGCCGCCGCCGCCGCCGCCGCCAGGGAGCCGGGACCACCGAGCACCAGCCGAGCCAACGCGCGACCCGCGCAGGAAGTCCCGCCCCTCCCCGCACCTGATTGGCTGGAACTCGCCCGCTCAGCGTCTCCCCGGCAGGTTACTTAGGCCGCCTCGGCGCGTGGAGGGAAGTGGAAGAGCCCGCCTCTTTTCCGGTCCGGCTTCACTACACTTCCGCCGAGGGGCAGGGACTGCCTACTCGGAGGCCCACTTCCAGCCCCCCGGGCACGCCTCTCCCAACCCAAGCACAGACTCCAGGCTTAAGAGAGCAGCTTCTCTTTATTGTGTTTTGGGAAATGGCGAGGGGGCTGGAGGGACGGTGACAGCCAGGCCCAGCCTCCCTCCGCAGGGCGGGCCCCAGAATGAGGGCAGAAGGGGCGGGGAGAGTCTTTAAATAGAGGAGGGGACTGGGGAGGGTAAATGCGGCCCGGCTCTAGCGCACCATATATTCCTTGCGCTTATTGAGCCGCACTTGGCAGAAAGAGAAGCCTCCGAGGAGGAGGTAGAGGCCCGCAGCGATGAAGCAGTTGTAGCTGACTTGCTCGTAAAGATTGTATATGTTCTGGGGGCCATTCCTAGGGGGAGGGGGTTAGGCAGAGAAGTGTCAGAAACATGAACAGCAGCAAGCATTTACAGAGTACCTACTATGGGCTAGGACGGGTTCTAACTGCTTTTACGTGCATTATCTTTATTCAGTCTTGTTCACCCTACGGGGTAAGTGCTGTTACTGCATCCATTTGCAGAGGGAGACGGAGGCACAGGAAAGTTAAGAAAATACGTAAAGAGCCGAAACCGGTTTGGCTCAGTGGATAGAGGGCTGGTCTGTGGACTGAAAGGTCCCAGGTTCGATTCCAGTCAAGGGCATGTACACTGGTTGCGGGCACATCCCCGGTAGGGAGTGTGCAGGAAGCAGCTGGTGGATGTTTCTTTCTCATCGATGTTTCTAGCTCTCTATCCCTCTCCCTTCCTCTATGTAAAAAATCAATTATATATATATAAAAATAAGTAAAGAAGCCACAACTAAAGTGGTGGGTTTAGGATGGCTGCTGAGGTCTGACAACCAAGACCAATACAAACTGTATGGTACAGAGCAGTTCTCCGCACCCGGTGTCCTAGCCGCTGGGCCCCGAGCACCCAGGCTCCTGAAATTCCCCGCCAGAACGCTGACCGCAGGCTCAGCCACCTCCCACCGCCCGCAGCCGCTCCCATTGGACACTCACTCAAAATCTTTCTCCGTGAAGGGGACGTCCTCAATGAGCACAGCCGAATGGACGTTAAAGAAGATTCCCAGCATTATCTGAAACGGAATGGGTAGGTTTTGACTTCAGGCATCTGCGCTGGTCACTCCCTAAACTCCTTCCACTTCTAATGTTGCCACAACACCTGGGTTTGGGGATTGACAGAAAGCACTGGGAACAGAGGTAGCTGTGGCTAGATTCGTACTCAGTCGCCTGGAACAGGGCTGGAAGTGGTGACAGAGACAACTTGGCTGGAAAAAGGGCAGAAAGAGTGAGTAACCCAGGAACCCCCGGATCATTCCCCTCTTCAGAGGCGTCATTATCACGGGACAGGGCAGAAGGGGTCGGGGGAATCAGCATTTATGATTTCTTCCTGGAGTGGGGCGGGTAGAGTCCTGGGCAGACAAGGCCCCAGCTACACATTTCGGCAACAAAATTCCGTTTAAGCATCTCTCAGGAACCCAGCGCTGCTGCTGCTTACCAAATCTACCAGCTCCCTCCTCCATGGCCCGCCCCACTCTAGTTCCCTATTTCTCAATCTCAGTTCTGTCTTGTTCTCCGAAGACGAATTCTCCCCCACAATCTCCCTTCCCCCTCCGCCTGCCGCTGCTTTCTAAGGCCTGGCGTCTCCTGGCCTCCCAGTCCCCCGCCCCCGGCCCCCAGGGCCTCTCCAGTCCTCGCAGGCCAGCCTCTCACCAACATGATCACCCCCCAGGCGCTGAGGACGATGCCGCAGGCGGCCAGCTTGGGCCCGCAGCACAGAAGCGACACCATGGAGATGGCAGTCGGGGGTCGCCTGGAGCTGTGCCGAGTGGGAAGACGGTGGAAGGAGTCCCCGATGGGCAGGAGCGGAGGAAGCCGGCGGAACTCGGAGGCTCGCGCCGCGGACAGCCGGCTGGAGGGGCGGGGCCTCGGGCCCAACCTTCGCGCGGGGGGGGGGTGCCGGGCGGAGGACGCCGAGCGACCTCGGCTCTTCTCCGGGCATGGCGGTAAAAGGCGGGGTCTGAAACCAAAGCACCCCCCTACGTGTCCCCTTATGGACCCGTGTATCCGGGGCGCGAGTGGTGGAAGAGCAAGTGCCTAAGGTTTCTCGGTCCCCCCTCTCCAGGTTGGAATGGACGGAGCCGGAGCATCACGTGATCCGGTTTGGCAGGTCACATGAGGAGGAGCCCCCAGCAGCTGGTGTTTGGGGAAAAGAGTCCTGGTCGCAGGGCTCCTGGTAACCTTGGAGGTGGGCTCTTAGGAGCAGCGGACTGGAACCGATTTGCCAGATACCGTATTTTCGGGTGGTGGCTGTCTGTGGCGGGACACAGAGATTCTCGCCGAGAGGGAACGCCTGGATCGCCTCACATCCCTCCCTTTAAAAACAGGGATGCTGACACAGAACAAGGAAATAGGAGACCCTTCCTGAGGCCCAGCGTACTGCTGTGGCCGGAACGCTTTAAGATTGCGGAGCGTTCTTGGCACCGGGGATACTTGAGTGACGTTTGTTACCAAACACGGAATACTAAGTGGTTTTGGATGCCAAATCCAGAGAAAATAGGGCGTCGGGAAAAGCCTAGGGAAAGTAGGCCGTGGGTAGGATGTGAAGGTGCGTGGTCCTGCTAAATGCACTGGAGAAAGAAATAGCGCACAAAACGTCACTTTGCTTCCCTGCTGTGAACTAAGGGAGCGGATTATAGGCCCTTTGAATACGGTAGGGGCACGATTTAAAGGATATGAGTAAATCATTCACTCCAAAGAAAAAGTTTGTATGCTTCCCTGGTGAGAGACTGGTTTGTAGTAATCATTCAGGGAAATGCATGCTTGAAGAACACAGTTCTGTTCTGAGCTTGTACCCAGGATAGTGAAGAAAGAGTAATCAAAGCATAATGGAGAGGGGTCATTTTGAACCCACGACAAACGAACAGTGGTTAGTATAATTTTGTGGTACTATTTCACTTATTTTGTGCATATTGTTCTGAAAAGAGTAGTGAGAGAACATAGAACCTCGGACACATGTAGAGACTCCAGTGCACTAAGGGGCTGGGAAAGTGGCCTTAAGACATGATTTTCATCTCTCTTGTTTGAGACTATTTAGGGAAGGAAGCCAAAGATTTTAGTCTGCTCTAGGAGCATCTTTCTTTAAAAAATTTTTAAAAATATTTTATTCAGTTTTTACAGAGAGGGAGGAGGAGGGAGAGAGTCAGAAACATCGATGAGAGAGACACTTCCATCAGCCACCCCGCCCCCCCACCCCTCCACATACCCCCTACCAGGGATGTGCTTGCAACCAAGGCACATGCCCTCTACCGGAATCAACCTGGGATCCTTCAGTCTGCAGGCTGACGCTCTATCCACTGAGCCAAAACGGTCTTGACATAGGATCATCTTTCTTATTCCTGAACTTTTGGGGGTAGCTGTGTGAATAGAAGTGGAGGGAAATTTGCAAAAGAACAGGATTAGGACTTTTTAAGTTGGCCACCAAGCTTGAAGTCTAGCAGCTAGGAAAGGAGAATTTGTTGAGGTAGTTCATTCCTCCAAGAAATCTTCCCACCCACCCCTGAGAGTGTTCTCTGGATGTTTGCAAGTAGGGTCAGTGCCTCAGGCCAGGTCACGCACCCTTGTCCAGACACTGCCACTGAGGGCCAGATTCAGCCTGCAGCCTGTGTACGTCTCTAGCATAGGACAGGGGTGTTTGTTTTGTTTTTGTATTTTTGAAACAAAAGAATATTTTGTGACACATGAAGTTTACATTTCACTGCCCATGAATAAAGTTTTATTGGAACATAGTCATTTTCATATTGTCCCATTTGCTACAATGGGAGTTGAGTAGTGACAGAGTCTGTGTGGCCTACAAGCCATAACACTTTTATTTGGCCTTTTACAGAAAAGGTTTGCTGCTTCCTCTCCCTCTAGCACCCCACTCTCCCTACCACCACCACCTTGCTCTGGGCCAGTGGAATACTGATGTAGAGAATTTATTTGGGAGAGCTGAAGGTCTCCAGGTGGGGGCGCCATAGAGCTCAGATAGTGATACTGTTCTCTATGTTGCTGGGCTTTAAGTATTCGTAGGCAAGGTCAAGCTGCTCATTCCGGGCTGTCATTTCCTTTTCCCAGTTTTCCAGGTCTGCTTGGAATTGGTCCAGTACAGCTTTGGTCTTGGAGCCTGAGAAATACTTTTCTTTGTGATGCCCCAGAGGAACCTAAGAAAAAACAAAGGATCAGTTTCTAGTCTGAAGGCTGAAGCACCTCAAGCCTAGCCCCTCACTGATGTTCCCCTCCCATCATCATTTCTCTTTCCCTGGAGGCCTCACTTACCATGTCTGGCTGGCGTCGACCCAGATGCCACGTGATAGTCATTTGCAGACAGGCCTGTTGGACATTAGGGAGTGAGCCCATCACTGTGGCCATTGTCACATCTTCCTTGGTGGTGGGTGGGGGCATTCGCATTGTGCATGGGGCATTGGGGACCCAGGCATACCAGTCCAGCTGGGGAAAGAAAGTACAACCTTAGGATCCTGGCACTTAGGGTTTGAACCCCTGTCTCTCCCTTGGTCTTGCTTTCAGGGCCCTGGGCTTTCATGTGTCCATACCTGGCCCTTGTTGATGGCCCCATGCTGGGCACTGCACGTGAACACACACATGGTAAGGAAATGGCAGAGTTGATTCCGAGACTGGAAGGAGACAGGGAAACCTGGGGAGGAAAGAAACAGGATTCAGAGGCTACAGCATGAGAGGAGAGAAATAAAGGTTGATGTCTTGGGATGTCTGCCTATTGGAATTGATGGGTGTTGGTTCATTTATTCAAAAATATTTGCATCAGACATGATTTTCAGTTCAGGCTCAAGCAATCTAGTTTGGACATGTTAGGCCAATTAATTTCTCTGACCTCAGTTTCTTCACCTATAAAGTGTGGATGATACTTACCTTCTAAATGAGATGCTGTATCAGATATTGATTTAACTGCTTAGTAAGTAGTAATTATTGTCATTATGGAAGGGTTGGGGGCTGAAAAGATTAAGTGATCAAATATCTTCTGCCTTAAAAAAGTGGCTAAGAATTTAGGGCTGCTTCTCCCTATTCCCAATTATAAGGTGAAGAATAAGAGAAGTCATGGTTTCCTAGAGTCACAGCTAAGAGAGGCTTTTTACAAGTTATCCCAGGCCACCCTATAATCCTACCTGTTAAGTGGAACAAGTATAATCACCCTCCTTTTATAAATGAAATGGACACAGTTGGGAAAAGGCAGAGGCTGACCTTGAACTTGGGATCCTGACTGCTAATTTTGGACAGTTTTTAATCTTAACACATTACCTCTACAAATCTGTTGGGAAAATTAGGCAAAAGCCAGCTATGAGAACTGAGGGAAAATGAGAGGCAGTTAGCTGGAGGTTAAAGTTAACATGTGGAGGTTGTATTTTCCAAATGTAGTTGCTACTAGTTGGGGGAAAGATGGCCAGGCAGAGGAAGTAGAGACTTTTCGGGGGCATGTGGAGCCTAAGGATCAGTATGGAGATGTCTTAGAGAGTTAGTCCTGGGAGGGTGGGGATGGTGCAGCCTCAGGTTCCACAGAGAGAGGCCCCTTCAGAGCGCAGGTGTTGGTTTATTGCTCACTGCATCGCCAGGGTCTGACCACAATGGCTCCCCAGTAAATGTCAGTAGTTGCCGAAAACCAGTGTGGCTCAATGGATAGAGCGTCAGTCTGCAGACTGAAAGGTCCCAGGTTTGATTCCTGTCAAGGGCATGTACTTTGGTTGCGGGCACATCCCCAGTAGGGGTTGGGCAAGAGACAGCTGGTCGATGTTTCTCTTTCATCGATGTTTCTAGCTCTCTATCCCTCTCCCTTCTTCTCTGGAAAAAAATCAATAAAATATATTTTTTAAAAATGCCAGTAGTTGTCCTACAGAGGCAGAGATGCTGGTGTGAAGTGTGAGGAGCTGGGACTGAAGGACGATTTGAAGCGGTCCAGGTTGGTCCACACGTGCTAGAGAGAGGAGGATGAACTAGGAGAACTCAAGAAAGGCAATTTCTTCCCCAGCAGTTAAGTGTGATTAGGGTATGCTACAGCTAATGACTAGATCTTAAGCCAGCGGCTAGATCCCAGCAGGAGTGGGGAGAGGACAGATTGTCAAAAGGAATGTGAGCCCCAAGGGACAGGGAATTGAGTTTAGGTTTGAGCCAAAGCATGTGCAGTATTGTGTTTGCACCTAGAGATAAAGTGTGCAGTATGCCTGGACCATCTGTGTGTGCTGGACAGTAGCAAAAGGAGAAGAGAGAAAAATCAGAGTAGGTCATTGTGGGGTTTTGTGGGAAAAGCTTCCCATTCATATCCTCAGGCAGGAACACAGACATATGAAGAGGGATGTAAGCCCCAGTAGGGCCTGGCCAGATACCCCGCTGGCTGTGGTTCTGGACCCACTGAGCCCCATGCTGTGGCAGTTTGGGGCATCTGTGACAAGGCAAGGGGGAGGGATGCAAAAGTTGATGGTCAGGGTCTTTGAGGAGGACAATCTTTGTGTTTCTAGGATTGTCCTGAGACTCAGAAAGTAGGAATGAGATCCAGATGCTTCATGTGTGGAGGGAGAGAGGGGGATGAAGGGTAGGGGCCATGTCCCCAGAAGGCAAGGCTGACAAGGATTCTGGGCAGAGTGTCCAAGGAGCTCACTTCTCTGGGGAGGGATCTCACCTCGGTCCTGGGCCTGGCACAGCCCCACCTCAGTGATCTCCCGACACCAGGCCTGCAGCTCAGGGTCTCCTCTCACGACGTCATCCCCGTGGTAGAAGAGGTGGACGATCCCCTCCACGTACCTGCCCAGAGAAGGGAGCTGAGCTCCTTGAGAGTACAAGGCTCTAGCCCTAACCTCTACTCCTTTTCTGTGGCGTCTATCCAGCACACTCTGACTGTGCCTGAGGACAGATC